ATGTTTTTCAGTGGTTGTTAGCACCCCACAAGAGGATGCAGTAGAGGTGAGTTTTTGCCATTTTGAGTCTTAAACCATGTGTGGGTCTGTTTCTGTTGGATCTCTCACAGCAATAATGTGCTTAAATGTTGCCTCAGCTGGTTTTCCATCATTATTTTCTTACTTCCATGCTTTTTAGAACGCCTTTACAGTGTTGGTCTCAAAGTTAAACAACACAAAAAGAACACCAACATTAAGTCTTTATTTATTTTCATTAATATTATTCTGCTGGGGCGGCACGGTGGTCTAGTGGTTAGCACTGTCGCCTCACAGCAAGAGGGTTGCCGGTTCAATCCCGGGCGTGGGAGCCCTTCTGTGTGGAGTTTGCATGTTCTCCCCATGTAAGCATGGGTTCTCTAAGGGCACTCAAGCTTCCTCCCACAGTCCAAAGACATGCAGATTGGGGAATAGGTTAATTGATAACTCTAAATTGTCAATAGGTGTGAATGTGAGCGTGAATGGTTGTCTGTCTCTATGTGTCAGCCCTGCGATAGTCTGGCGACCTGTCCAGGGTGTACCCTGCCTCTCGCCGAATGTCAGCTGGGATAGGCTCCAGCCCCCCCGCGACCCTCAAGAGGATGAAGCGGTTAGATGAAGAAGAAATTTATTCTGCTGACACGGCAATGAGATGCCAACATCATGTTTTCCCTGGAGGCTTTCTAGAGTTTGTTTAATCCCAGAAGGACTCAAGTGAAATATTCAGAGTACACATTTGGCTGTGCCTCATCAAAAGTCACATACATATCAGTATAACTAACATGTACAAGAACACTGCAAAAACTTTAGTTCTAAGTGTGATAATCATATATTTAGATTTAGATTTAAAATCTGGTTTGACTTGTTTAGAGCAAGGATTTGATTAACACGTGCTGCTGGGGGTTTGTTTACACCAGCATGCCAACATGCTCATGTTTCCAGTGTTAGCTTAGAGCATTAGCATGCTAACATTTGTTATGCCATTTACAGGTATTTAGTCATAAATTATAGCAGCTGACACATTGAAAATTCAGCCTGATGATGGTGCCATATTGAAAGTCAGGTGAACGACAAGGTCACTGAGATTCATCCTCCAAGAACCAGGCCTCTGTGAGTGTATTTATGTCCGAATCTATCTAGTAGATGTTGAGATGTTTCACAGGACAAGTGAAAACTTTGGCCTGCTGGTGGCACCCTGAAATGTCACAGGATCATTAAAATCATATAGACCATTATTACTGTATCTACACCAAATATCATTTCCAACATTTCCAGTAGTCGGTGGCAACAAGTATTACAGCCTGGACCAAAGTGGTGAACCCACCATTTGACTTTGGCTCCCGACTCCAAGGTAATGTGTTCAAAACAAGTTGGCCAGACTCAACACAGTGTGTGGAGCTTTCTTCATCATCCTCACTCTCCCTTTGGTTATTTTCAAGAATCTCCTTCAATATAAATGCTTACGAATCATTTTAGTTACTAAATGTGATTTTTTTTTTTTTTAATTGCTTGTGAGATCTATGTTGTGTTGCTCTATGTTTATTAAGATAAGACAAGGTAAGGTAAGACTTGGTTGATCCCCAGAAAGGAATATTCACATTTACCTGATTTAGATGACAAAACTGTTATTATGAACATTTTCTACAATCTAAATCACTATTTTAAATGATTGCACAGTCTGGGCAGAGATAAATGAGCGTTCTAATCTTCATGTAGTATTTGTATTCATGATATCTTGAGTTTTGCAGAGAGAATAAAAAAAACTATTCCTGGTGACACTTGAGCAGTGATACTTAAGGTAATGTGTAGGATTCAGTGGCATCCAGTGTTGAGGTTGCAGAACTGAACCTTCTCCTGTGTGCCAAGCGTGTAGAAGAATTATGGTGGCCAATGTGAAAACACGGAACAGCCATATGGTTTGTCCACTCTGGGATACTGTAGAGCAACATGGGAGGGCTCCATGGAAGAGGACCCGCTCCATACATAGATATAAACAGCTCATAAGGTTACAAAAACACAATTCTTATTTCCAGGAGATTATAAACTAATGAAGACATAGTTATGAATACTGTATACCATTTCTGCCAATTGATGCCCCTAAATCCTACACACTGGACCTTAAAGCTAGTTGTTGCATATACTTTGTAAAGTATAATTAACATATCGTGCTGCTGGTCCTTACATAACTTCTCTTTTGGCTTGTATTTGTTGTCACTTTGCAGAGGTGTGTCTTCATTTTTCAATGAAATTCTAATTAAATAATAAGATGTATTTGGATTATTCTAATAACATAAATGAAACATGTCCTATTCCTAGAGTTCAGGTTGCCATGAAGTCTACCAAGCACTCAGCTCACTGACGATGGATGACAACCAAGTCTACAGCACTCTGACATGCACCCAAAGGGTATGGCACTCCACACAGCTATTTCACCAGTAAAACAAATAGACACAAAAATACACACTGTAAGTTTATTTTTCTACGTTGGCTTTCAGCTATTAACCTTAATGCCATTTTAGGTCACTTTGCAAATGTGCATACCTTATAAACCTGTTGCACTAATGCTTTTCTTACAGTTTCAATTAAGTTATCATAAAATGCATTTAATTTTACTCTGTTTAATTCCAAACTAGTCTAATGCTTAAATCAAATGTGTTTATCCAGAGTGCAGGTCCTGAGGAAGTCTCCCAGTCAGCCCACCCATTGACGATAAATGACCAAGTCTACAGAACTCTCACACCCACCCAAATGGTATGGCACTCCACGCAGCTATTTCAAAACTTTGAATGATCACTGCAGCAGGAGCTATTGCATCACTTTTATATGGTAAAAATTGCAATGGGATCACTCCAGCTGCAACACAGCAATCCATGGGTTGAAGCGAATATTGACTAGGGGTCCCTGCTTCCCTGCTTCCTCCCCTCTACTTCCTGCTCCCTTGCTCGGACCACACCAATCTTCAAACTTGACACTCATTTTGATTTCAACAACATGTGTAAAGTTTGATGTCTGCATCTTGCAAGGTTGTTATCAAAATCTGTCCACAGACAGGCATGTCAACACCTGGCTAAATACTGAAAATTGCGTCTCTGGTAGTTCCCGCTTCAACCTTTACGTCACCAGGACCACATTTCAATGACACAAACTCAGGAAGAGAAAACAATACCAGCCTGTAGCTACTACCCTTAATGTCATCTAAGGTCACTTTGCAAAATGCACCCTTTGTAGACTTGTTGCACCAATGCATTGTCTTACGATTTCAATTTAATTCTGACAAAATGCATTTCATTTTTCTCTGTTTAATTGGGCATTACTCAAACATGTTATGTTACAGAGTGCAGGTCCTGTTGAAGTTTCCCAATCACTCCACCCACTGACAGTGGATGAAGACCCAGTCTACAGCACTATCACACCTACTAAAATGGTATGGCACTCCACACAGCTATTTTACATCTTTGATCACTGCATCACTGCAGCAGATGCTATTGCATCACTACTATATGGCAGAATGTTAGCAAAAAAAAACCCCAACATATAGTTCACTTTGCTACTAACCTTAATTCCATTTTGGTTCTCTTTCCAAGTACACGCACGTAGCCCATTTGTAAATACAATATGCTGCACAAATGCCTTGTTTGCTAGTTAAATGTATTTTTGTTTCTATCTAATTTCATATTAGTCAGCAAATGTTATGTGTGTGCAGGTGCTAATGGAGTGTATCAAACACTCATCCACAAAGCTGTGTCACAGCTTTGATATATTAATTTGCTGAGTCATCTAATCTGTCACACATTTTTGATTAAACGTGCATCTGATGAATGTCTTTGAATCTGTATCCTTCATTTTCACACAGTTCTCTCTTTCTGTTCTTCAACATTAAACTTTTCTTTGTTTCCAGAGTGCTGTCCTGGAGTCGAAGGAGGTGGATACAAGCAATGTCTCATAGATTTGGATTTATTTAAATAAACACAAATGTATGCATACTTGTTTTGTGCTTGCATGGAGAGTTCATGCTACATGGACAAAAATCTGTTAGAACGGTGACATTTGGGGGCAAAGTAACTGACTGACTACATTTTGGGATCAAAGATTCATATTTTGTCAATGTTTGGTTCGTAAGTAGGAATGAGATGTGCGATTTTTTTTCACAAAATGGTACTTGTATGAAACATTGACTATAGAGATGGATGATGTGTTTGTACTTACTCCCACTGTACAAAACTGAAGCCAGAGAGGGCCGCTGCCATCGTGCACTGAAGACGTCATTTGGAGCCAGAATCTGTGCAGTAGCATAGAGTTCCCATCCATACACCCATTGGACCAATCACGAGCTGTGCCATTGATCGCAAACACACCAGTTTGCACACACAGCTGTTGATTATGTCATCAAACACCCTTTTGAAGCATCAAATAATTTATTACAACCAAACTTATCCTAAAAACAACAACTTGAACATACATCAGTGTCATAAGAACTGCCAGAAATAACAGAAACCATCTTTGGCTCATATCCCATCTGCTAACATGGAGAGGGTGGGGTCTACGACATGTCCTGCAGCCAGCCACCAGGGGGCGATCAGGATGTTTTGGCTTCTCTTTGGGGGAGCTGTTATGTTGTCCATTTTTATTGCATAGTGTATGGTATGATTCCTTTTACTTTAATAATTCAGTAGTAATTCTAAAGACTGCACCAAAAATATGTGTCTCGTGTTTTTGTTTTAACTTGAAGTGACATATCACAAAAATAAAAAAATGGAAACAAATGTTTCTCTGTTTCCTCTGTATGGTTTGCTGTTTTGTTCACAATAACAAAGTCTTACACATTACGCTGTATGCTCTGTGTGCAAGTGTGTGTGAGTGTGTGTGTGTCTTTGCTCAAAGAAAACGGAGGGGGTGCAACCTTTGAAAGAGTAAGAGGAAAGGGAAGTGAGGGGGAAGTGCAAAGACTGTGGCTGGACTGACCCTATGATTCCCGTTCACTTGCTTTCTTGTTCGTTACCAGTCAATATCACAATGAAAACAATCTATGCGTACTCTTGTCTTCTTTTCGGTGAGTGTATTTATTTTTCCTGCATTCTCTGTATTTGCATCTACTGCAGCTGGTGTTTAAATACTGTGGCTGTTGAATAACATACTTTATGTTTATTTTGCTAAATGAGTCATTTAGTCAAAGTCTTGCCATCACCAATAATCAGATGGAGCAATATGAAAAATGTACATATTTAAAGTGATTTCTGCATTAATACTATAACAGTGACAAAGTGTTTCCTTTATTTCCACTTGTAGCTCTGAGTTTTGTGGAGATGAAGCCTCTCAGCATAACTGGCCATGTTGGGGGGAATGTGACAATCGAATGCTCAGAATGGGACTCTGTGACTGATGTAAAATATAATGTTAAGTACTTTTGTGACAGTCCATGCACAGAAGACAAACACATCATCGTCAAAGCAGAATCTGGAAAGACTGAATATAAAAACAGAATAGAGGTGTCTAACACAGCAGATGGTTTATTTGTGACCTTCTCTAATCTCCAAGAGTCAGACTCGAAGACATATTACTGTGGAGTGGAGAGATTTGGCCCTGATTTATACATAAAGGTCAATCTTAAAGTCACAAAAGGTAAGGTTGTTTTTTTTTTCTTTTCTTTTGAAACAATACCACTCCTTTGTCAGAAAGTAAAAACTGTTCCACATGGCCACTCATTAATACTGTATGTGTTATTCTCAGCTGAGTCTTCTAGTCCCAAGACAACTCCAAAAAAAGTCACTGCTGGTCCCACTCTCTCATTTACTGTGACAGACGACTCCATCACGTCTTCATACAGCTCAGATAATATGACTGATATGTCAACGTCACACACAACCCTGAATACAATGTTGCCTACTGCACCCGCAACAGGAGGAGCAGGTATGAAGTGCGCTTATCTAAACTTGACATATATGTTGCATTATTAATTGAAAGTAAAATACAGAGTGTAAATAATATACATTGTCAAGGTGTTGAGACATAAACTAAAAAATATGCTAAATGACAAATGAAAAATGGATTTAACCAAAGTAAATAAAAGTCCTCAACAGTGTTACAAAATCTTGATACAAAGAGGTGCTCTAGTAAACACACCACAAGGGGCCTTTAACAACTACAAATTTACGACAGTAAATTTCAGACAACTATAGAAAAAATAAAGTAAACATTTGTTTATGGTCTCAACTTTAGAGAAAACAATACCAATGACCAATCAAACAAGAAAAAACACAAGGCAGACTGTGATCAAATATGTTTTTTGTGTTAAATAAAAAGCAGAATGTCTCAAATGTTTTGAAATTATGCTTAAATGAACCCATGTTTAAATACCCATCCACTGCTAAAAGCATCTCTTTATTGACAGTGTGCTTATCCCTAAATCTTGATACCTTAACATTTGAATTTATTGTTGTAGTATTCACTTATCAAGACTTGTG